CTTCCAAGGCCCTTGCATCCTTGTGATGCGGGTCGACTGCATGGGAAGCGCAAAAGAAAAGGGGCCGCTTGTGCCGACGCAGGCGCGTAAGCTTCCCGCGTAAGGTCGCGCGTAGGCGCCCTCGTCTCTGGTGTAGCGTGGTGCGCTTGCGGCCCGCGCAAGCCACCGCGGAACGTCGCTGTGCCATCTCGCGTCAGACCCGTTTCAGATCGTCGCTCAGATGGCGCCGTCCACTTCGTTTGCGTCACAGGGGCTGGTTGCTGGAGCGGCGGTCATGGCAAACGCGGTGTCACACAGCCCCGTTGGGCCACTGGGCCAGCACGGGGTCACACCGGCCCCGTTGGAGCCCCGTTGGGCTCCCGAGGGCTCCCCCCGAGGGCTCCCGAGAGGGACTATAACATGTGGTCGCCAGCACGGGTGTGTGACTGCTGCAAGTTGGCAACGCTACAAGATGGAGGCGGCAATAGGAGGCTCACCAGGATGCGTCAGCAATGGTTCGGACCCTAGCAAGCGTGACCCTGGTCGGATGAGAGCGCCGGGCGAAACCGACGGGGCCCGACATCTTCGAAGATCGATAGAATTGAAATCTCTTTGTCGGCGGAAGGCGGCGGAAGGCTGGCGGAAGGTGTCGGAAGTAAAATGAGGCCGTCTCCGCAGGCGGAAGCTCGGCGGAAGGCGGCGGTATTTAAAAGTCAGCCTCCCAAGAGATTGCAAGGGTTTTTTTGGTGCAGGGTTCCCAGGGACCGGCATGTGAGGCTCACTGGGATGCGTCAGCGATAGCTAGGACCCAAGCCAGCGTGACCCTGGCGAGGGGGAGCGCCAGGCGAAACCGGCGTGGCCCGACATGCGGAAATCGTGAGGGCGAGGAAAATGGAGGTAGTGGATTTGCAGAGGTGTTCGATTCCTGCTCAGTGGCCTGTGAATCGACCCGGCGCGAGCTCGGGCGACTCGGCCGCGGCAGGCTCTCGATGCGTGTGCCGCGGCAGCCGGTGACAACGCAGCGCAGGCTTCGACCGGACTGTGGGAGCCTCGAGCGCGTGGGGAGCTGCCGTGGGGGTATCGAGAACATGCCTCTCACAAGGGAAGATGATGGGCTTGTTTTCCACCACCACCACCATCAGTTGGAGGGGAAGGGGGTCCTCCTCCTGCTCCTCCTCCTCCTCCTCCTCCTCCTCCTCTTCCTCCTCCTTCCCTCCTCATCCTTCTCCTCCTCCCTCCTCGTCCTCCTCATCCTTCCTCCCTCCAACTTGTGGTGGTGGTGGTGGAAAACAGGCCCATCAGAAGGGCTGCATATAAACCGAACCTCTCGGAGGTCCGCGCGGATATTTCCCGGATTTGTGCCAGGGGCCCCTCGCGGCGCCGCCTGCGCTGTCCCAGGGAGCGTTCCGCGCGCCAGAGGAGGGGGGTCCAGCTCCGAGGCGATGCAGACATCCGCGGGGACCAGTGTTGTGTTTGTGCACTTGGTTTATACCGTGGAACCCGCAGACTTTTTTCATTACACAATCATGCCCCGCCATGGCTGACCTCGGCTAGGAGGGCGTGATACACCACGGCCAGGCACGCACGTATGGATGACTCTTCGCTGGAAGGTCTCTGGTGCGCGCCAACAGGGGTCCCCCCAGCAGTGATTTGCGCGCTTGGATTTGGCGCCCCTCCGGCCCCCTGAAGCCGCGCACCATTGGCTGCTCTTACCTAGGAGCCATTCCGTGCTGTCGCATATGCAAAGAAGCCTTCCGCGCGCAGAAGCGCGGTGATCCGATTTCCCCCTGCGCCTCCGTCCAAGACCCGGACAAAATGATTCTTCCCAACCATCCTGTGGTTTTGGGTCCTCGTTTCGAAACGACAGCGCCTCGCGTTCTCCTCCTCGCCTCTCCTCCTCCCCCTCATCCCATCCCCGTGCCCCATGTCGCCACACCCCTCAGACCTTTCGTGGCCCCACCGAAGGCATTAGCGACAGGGTCCGCATGGCGGCCCCGCACCAGATTCGGAACCCCCACGCACTCTTCGGCCCCAGCGGCAGGGTCCGCGTGGCGGCCCCGCCCCATGTCGGTACACCCCTCATACGCTTCGTGGCCCCAGAGGGAATTCCACGAAAGGCGCCAGCGGCACGCTCCGCATGGCGGCCCCGCACACATCCTGGCATATTTTTCACACGCTTCGTGGCCCCATAAGGAGCTTCAACCGGAGGCCCCATTGGCAGGGTCCGCATGGCGGCCCCGCGCTCGATTTTAGCACACCCATCACGCACACTTCGTGGTCCCATAAGGAGCTCCACCGAAGGCCCAGTGGCAGGGTCCGCATGGCGGCCCCGTGCCAATTTTGGCACACCTCTCACACGCTTTGTGGCCCCATCGGGAGCTCCACCGGAGGACCCAGCGGCAGGGTCCGCATGGCGGCCCCGCACCCATTTCGGCACACCCCTCGCACTCTTCGTGACCTATAAGGAGCTCCACCGAAAGGCCCTAGCGGCAGGGTCCGCATGGCGGCCCCGCACCCATTTCGTCGCACCTTCACGCGTTTCCTTTCCCCAGAGGTACTTGCCCCTCCTTCGTCCCACCTGCCTTGAAGCACTCGCACCCGCACATGGTTGGGTCCATCGCCTGGATAATTTCACGACCGACTTGTACCCAGAGAGGTCTGGACCCCATCCCCCGGGGACAAGCTTTTCACATTGAGTCGCTGTTTGACAGTCCCGTGTGCCCGGTCCCTGAGAAATTTTCAGTAAGTAGCGGATTTCGGGCGCGCCGAATTCCGGTCGCGGTCAGAGGAGGTCTAATCTCGGTGACGAAGAGACGGGGCGCCGGGGTCCAAGCGAGGGCTTCGAGGCCGTCGACCCACCGACGGCCCGCTCGCTGCCAGAATCCGCGGCCGGAGGCTGGTCTCCCCAGGGCGCCCGAGACTTGCGGGCGTCGTGGAAGAGCCGCGGCGGAAGGCTCGTGGGTGTCTGCGGCCTCCTCGGCCCCCGTCGCCCTCGCGGGGCCGTGGGGCTGTCGAGCAGAACCTCGGGATCAAATTATCCTGGCGAAGGACCCAACCATGTGCAGTTGTGAATATCTCATTGCGGGTGCCGCTTTCGGTGGAGCTCCCTGTGGGGCCACGAAACGCTGTGCTGGGTGAGGGTGACGCATGCGGGCGGCACCACTGGGGCCTTCGGTGGAGGTCCCTGTGGGGCCACGAAGCGCTGTACTGGGCGGGGGTCACGCATGCGGGCGGCACCACTGGGGCCGTCGGTGGAGCTCCCTGTGGGGCCACGAAACGCTGTGCTGGGTGGGGGTGGCGCATGCGGGCGGCACCACTGGGGCCTTCGGTGGAGCTCCCTGTGGGGCCACGAAATGCTGTGCTGGGGTGGGGGTGACGCATGCGGGCGGCACCACTGGGGCCTTCGGTGGAGGTCCCTGTGGGGCCACGAAACGCTGTGTTTGGTGGAGGTGCCGAAATGGGTGTGCGGGACGCATGCGAGCGGTGGCACTGGGGCCTTCGGTGGAGCTCCCTATGGGGCCACGAAACGTGTGAGGGGTGTGCCGAAATGGGTGTGGCTGACGCATGCGGGCTGGGGCCACGAAACGTGTGAGGGGTGTGCCGAATTGGATGTGGCTGACGCATGCGGGCGGCGGCACTGCGGCCTTCGGTGGAGCTCCCTATGGGGCCACGAAAGCGTGTGAGGGGTGTGCCGAATTGGGTGTGGCTGACGCATGCGGGCGGCAGCACTGGGGCCTTCGGTGGAGCTCCCTATGGGGCCACGAAACGTGTGAGGGGTGTGCCGAATTGGGTGTGGCTGACGCATGCGGGCGGCAGCACTGGGGCCTTCGGTGGAGCTCCCTATGGGGCCACGAAACGTGTGAGGGGTGTGCCGAACTGGGTGTGGCTGACGCATGCGGGCGGCAACACTGGGGCCTTCGGTGGAGCTTGGCTGGGGGTGGAGCTCCCTATGGGCCCGAAACGTGTGAGTGTGAGTGTGTCGAATTGGGTGTGGCTGACGCATGCGGGCGGCAGCACTGGGGCCTTCGGTGGAGCTCCCTATGGGGCCACGAAACGTGTGAGGGGTGTGCCGAATGGGTGTGGCTGACGCATGCGGGCGGCGGCACTGGGGCCTTCGGTGGAGCTCCCTATGGGGCCACGAAGCGTGTGAGGGGTGTGCCGAATGGGTGTGGCTGACGCATGCGGGCGGCACTGGGGCCTTCGGTGGAGCTCCCTATGGGGCCACGAAACGTGTGAGGGGTGTGCCGACTGACGCATGCGACTGGGGCCTTCGGTGGAGCTCCCTATGGGGCCACGAAACGTGTGAGGGGTGTGCCGAATGGGTGTGGCTGACGCATGCGGGCGGGGCACTGGGGCCTTCGGTGGAGCTCCCTATGGGGCCACGAAACGTGTGAGGGGTGTGCCGAATTGGGTGTGGCTGACGCATGCGGGCGGCGGCACTGGGGCCTTCGGTGGAGCTCCCTATGGGGCCACGAAACGTGTGAGGGGTGTGCCGAACTGGGTGTGGCTGACGCATGCGGGCGGCAGCACTGGGGCCTTCGGTGGAGCTCCCTATGGGGCCACGAAACGTGTGAGGGGTATGCCGAATTGGGTGTGGCTGACGCATGCGGGCGGCAACACTGGGGCCTTCGGTGGAGCTCCCTATGGGGCCACGAAACGTGTGAGAGGTGTGACGATGATGGTGATGATGACGATGATGGTGGGTGATGACGATGATGATGATGATGATGATGATGATGATGATGATGATGATGATGATGATGATGATGATGATGATGATGATGACGATGATGATGATGATTATGCTGATGGGAGGAGGGAGGAGGGGGAAGAGGCGGAGAGGAGAGGAGAACGCGGGGACCGTTTCTTCAAAACGAGGACCCAACACCACAGGATGGTTGGGAAAAAGACTTGCCCCAGCGCATGTTTGGGTGTTCTCTGGCACTCGCGGGAGGTCTTCTGCCATGTTCCGGGGCCCTTGGACCTCCAGGGGGCCCTGCTCATTTTCCAGTCTCCATTGTTCGGGCCTCCGGGGCCCTTTTTTACCCTCCTTGGACCTCCAGGGGCCTCCTCGTCGCCACGGCTGGATGCGTCTCGAAATCCTGGCCCGAACGCACCCCAGGATAGGTCTAGGAATCGAGTGTTGCGCTCGAGCCCTAGCATCCTCGTGTGAAAGCAAAAATGAAACCGAGGTGCTTGGCCATATTCGGCTCCATGTTGCCCGGGTCTGCCAGAAGCCGGGTCTGATGAGACGCCCGTCCCTGGAAAAGGGTCCAGACCAGCTCGAGGTGACCGTGTTTTGGCTATTTCGTGAAGCGTTTTCGTTCTGATGCTGTTTTGCAGCAGAGGCGGAAGAAAGACTGACCGAAGGAGAAACCGAAAGCAACACGAAAGCTGAAATCATTGTTTAGCTAGAGCCTTAACTAGTCCAGACTTCCGGGGAGCCGCGTCGTGCAGAACTTGCATCGATGTCGGTTGGCTGGGCTCGTTCAGCTCTGCCGGTAGCCCTGTGTCGCCGCACCGCCCGCGTCGTGCCGAAGGGCATCGGTGGACACGCGCACGCTGGCGCCCCAGCACACGCCCTGAGGCTCGTCGAGCGGCGCTGGAGTATCGAGTTGGCGATTCCGCCGCACAGAGCATTTTGCAGTGCGCACCTCCAAAGCGCCGACAGGGAGGGGAGACGCTCAGGAGGGGAACCATGTGGTTAAGTCGGGCACGTCCCTCTACGGGAGGAATTTTCAAAAATGTTCAAGACAGAGTCTGGGGACGATAATTTGATTATTGTCTGGCAATTTTGCTGCATGGTTTGGCTACACATCGTTCATTTCTAACTCTTCGAAGGTTGTTTGATTTGTTTGGGGCCAAGATCCGTTCATTTCTGATTGTTCTGTCCTGGGCCTCTTCCTCGCCACAGGGGGCCAGGCACAACTAGAAACGAGCACAATTAGAAATGAGCACGATTAGAAATGATCGACGTGTATGTTGCATATGTTTTGTCCAGAATCCGCCTGTAGGGGGACACGCCCGACCTGAGCTTATGGGCCACGGGCCCCCAGTTCGCGCATGCCTCGCCGAGCGGGACCGGAGCGCTCCATAAGCCTGCCCAGGACCGTCGACGTGACGCGCACGGGCGAGGGCCCATCGCCGAGCGACTGGCGATGCACCGCCAGTTCTTCAGGCGGGAAAGAATCACACAGACACAATGAATCGTAGACTCCCAGGAGAATAGGGGAGAATATGGGAAGCGGGGGGGAAGACGAAAACCCAGAAAATGTGGGGAAATATGGGGAATCCTGTTATTTGTCTATTCTTATTTATGTGTCCCTGGACCCCTTCAGTTCTGCCCTGCAGTCCAGCCTCCCAGCCGGGACACCCTTCCAGATTTTCTCCCTGTCCCCTCGGTGGAGGGCTTCTCCGAAGGATTCAGGCGACCCGTCCTCCTCCTCCTCCTGCTCCTCCTCCTCCTCCCCCTCCTTCCTCCTCCTCCTCCTCCTCCTCCTCCTCTCTCCTCATCCTCCCCCTCCTCCCTCCTCATGCTCCTCCTCCTCTTCCTCCTCCTCCTCCTCCTCCTTCTCCTCCCTCCTCCTCCCCCTCCTCCTCCCCCTCCTCCTCCTCGGGTCGCCTGCGGCCCCGGGGGAAGCCGTGCACCCCGCGGTCGGAGGGATTCTTGACCCCCGGGCTGCTCAAGACAGCTCCTGGGATCCCTTGGGCCTCGGGAGCGACAGAAAGCCAGAAGCGGGCACGAACAGGCGGCAAGAGGGGTGCGGTAGGGCCCAAGGTCAGCTCGAGCATTCCCAAGACTGCCCCCTAGAGGGACCCAAGGGTCCGAAGAGGAGCCTTCAGAGGCCCCTGGGAGGTGCTCGAAGTTCTCGCTGGGGATCAAGACTAAGAGCAGGCTGGAGCAGCATTGGTCCGCGGGCGCCAAATCGCCTAAGACAGCCAGACGCCGGTAAACAAGCGGTGGGGTTCCTTGGGAGCGAATTGAGGCACGAGGGCGAGGAAAAGGAGCAGAGTGCGAGGAAGGATGCGGGAGGAACCCGCTCAGATCATAGAAGCCGGAGCGGGGATGCCCCAGTAGATCTTGAAACAAGTATGTTGCACCATCATAGCGGGCGATTTCGGAAACCCTGAACCCAGCAACGTGCTCCTCTCTCGGGGGCGCATTGCTTACTTCCGCCGCCCTCCGCCGTGCTTCCGCCGCCTTCCGCCCGCCGGCGGAGGCGGCCTCGCTTTGCTTCCGCCGACCTTCCGCCGCGGACGAGACGCCAACGCCTTCGATCGTCGAGGGCAAGGCCTTCTTGTCTGGAACGCCCAGGGGAGGTCGAAGTCCGCCTCGCCGCGACTTCTGCTCGCGACGCGTGGAGGTCCCAAGGCCGCGAGCTCAAGCAGTGGCGAAGCGTCCTTACTCGCCTATAGGCCTACCAAAGAGTGTTCTAAGAGCCTTTCGTGGTTTTCACGACATGTTCTTAGAGCACTTCTGGCTGGGACCGTCTTCTTTTAACTCAGCGGGCTTATGTTCTAAGAGCGCTGTTTTGTGTTATCAGAGCACTTTGGGGTTCAAGAATATCTCGTGGTACGTAGGCCTATAGGAATGCCGGGACGGTCGGTCCCTGCTCAACGAGCGTTGCCCGCAGGACTCGCGCGGAGGAGGACGAAGAGGACGAGGAGGAGGAGGAGGAGGAGGAGGACGAGGAGGACGAGGAGGACGATGAGGAGCAGGAGGAGGAGGAGGAGGAGGAGGAGGAGGAGGAGGAGGACGAGGAGGACGAGGACGAGGACGAGGACGAGGAGGACGAGGACGAGGAGGACGCCCCAGGCCCCGAGCGCTGCCCGCAGGACTCGCGCGCCCCGTGGGCCCCGGGCGCGCCGCCGCCGCCCGCCGCAGCGCCCCGGAGGCAGCCTCGCCCCCACGGCTGCGGCCGCCTCGGCCTCGGCCTCGGCACGCCGCCGCCCGCGAGGTTCGAGCCGCGCCGCCGCCGCCGCCGACGACGACGACGACGACGACGACGACGACGACGACGGCGACGGACGACGACGAGGACGACGGACGACGGCGACGATGTCGACGACGACGACGACGACGACGGCGACGGCGACGACGACGACGACGACGTCGACGGCGACGACGACGGCGACGGCGACGACGACGACGATGCCGATGCCGACGCCGCCGATGCCGACGACGACGGCGCAGATCTCCGACGAGGTGTTTTTCCCGAATGTGGTCTGGAGCTTTGGCTGCGTGTCGCTCCGCCAGTTCTGGCCCACCACGCTTCGGCGCGACACGCCATCAGCGTCCCCATTCCATTGCGTCAACGTCCCGACCTTCTCCCAGCTTCCCACCCCGGGGACGCCATCCCCTTGCAAGGCACAGCGTGTCGCTGGGGCCGTCGCCGGGACATGCTATCCAAAAGTTCCCGACCGTAGCAGCGTTCCGCCAGAGGGGTTGAGGAGTAATGGAAAAATGTTATATATAAGAGTCTCACAAGGGGGGAACGGGGAGCCCCATATCGCCCCGTACAGCAGCCGTTGTGTCAGATATTTCCCCACGGTTTATTCAGGAATCGTGTTCTCGCCCAGCTGAAGGCTACAATTTTGTTCTCGACGACCTCGACCCCTTCTAAAAATTAGAATTGCCAGCGCGGACTTCAAACGGTGTGTTTCTAGCAATCTATGTTGTACCACTTATGTAGTCTACTATATGTGGTGGAATCGATGCTGTGCAAATCTGTGTTTTGCAATATATGTTGTGGGATCTCTGTGGTGCGACCCACGTGGTGCAAGTCTAGGTTGTGAAATATATGTTGAGCACTTATGTGGTGCAGTCTGTGTGGTGCACGACATGGTGTTCAACCGATGTTACGCAATATATGTCGTGAACCTTCTGTGGTGTAACTCATGTGAAGCGACTAGTGTGCTGCAGTCGTTGCCGTGCAGTACATGTTGTGAAATCTATGTCATGCAATTCGCACAACCGGATTTGAAGCTGTCCGCTCCACTGCTCGCGCTAACATCCCACCCACCCACCCGCAACTTGGTTTACAGAACCCATGCGGCGGCGTAACGCCGACAACGGTAGACACGATGATGAACGTAGCGATGACGGTAAGACTTGTGGCGGTGACGAAGGCTGGGCCAATGACGGCGCCGATGTTGATCACGCCCGCCGATAACGATGACGATGTTTTTGCGTCGGTGGTGAAGGTTTTGAAAGGAGTTCGACATGCGCGCGCGCGGCGCCATTATTTGATACGGATTGTGCCCCCCCCAGCACGCGCGCAAGGACGTTCTGATGAGTTCGACATGTGGCGCGAGGGGCCCATTTGGTTGAAATTGATAGCACCGTTGAAAACTTACGGTGCTTCAAGCATTCGCCGGGGCTCGCGCAGGCTTTATTTTGAACGTTGATGTTGCAACACTAAGTATGTTTCAGATGTGTTCTGGGGACTCGTTTTGGAAATCTTTACGGAACCTAAGGTTTTTGACAGATTTCGGCGTTCGCGCGCGACGACGCGCGCGCGCGCGTGTTTGTCGTTTTTTTTGGTGGTGAAGGATTTGGGCGACAGTTTGCGCGCATGGGCGGTCGAACGATTTCGACATGCGCGCGCGAGAATCCGTTTGGCAGCATGTTACGATCATGGTGAAGCATCCATGGTTTTCTGAAGAATCTGCAATAGCGCGAGCGCGGGCGTGTTTAAAGACCCCTGTTGCGAAACCATATGTTGTTGATATGGTTTCGCGACATTCGGTGTTGAGATCCTTGCGAATCCTTAGGTTGTTCAGGGATTTCGGCATGCGCGGACGGCAACGCGCGCGTGCGTACGTCGTATCGTTTTTGCAAAGGACTTCGAAACACACATTCGATTTTTGATAGACGAATGCGCGAGCAGCATGGAGCGATACCAGTTGGCCTGGGATGGTACGGATTCATATTTAAGATGGGCGATGGGTCAGAGTCACATGTAACTTACACTGCGAAAAGCCTGGCCAATGAGACCGGGAGAGGGCGATGATTCATTTTTCAGAAAACTGGAATCTATGTGTTGGTGCATTCTACATTGTGCAGTGTAGCTGGTGCCATCTATGTGGTGCAATATTTTACAGACGACCTGGCACATGCCATGTTCTTGCGAACATCGTGCCCAGCCGCCCGCAACTTGGCTTGCAAAACCCATGCGACGGCGATTGTGATAAGTGCCTGGCGTTGGCGGGTGCATCTCTACTCCCTGTGGGTCCACGGAACGTGTGAAGGGTGTGCCACAATGGGGGTGGAACCGCATGCGAACCTTGCCAGTGGGGCCTTCGGTGGAGCCCCCTGTGGGGGCACGAGACGGGCGAGGGGCGTGCCGAAATTGAAGTGGAACCGCATGTGAACCCTGCCACGGGGGCCTTCGGTGGAGCTCCCTCTGGGGCCACGAAACGTGTAAGGGGTGCAAGGGATGGGAGGAGGGGGGAGGAGGAATGAAGGAAGGAGTGACGCGGAGCGCTTTCTCTTCAAAACGAGGACCCAAAACCACAGGATGGCTGGGAAAAAGAGGCTGCGCCGCGTGGCCCCGCCCCCGCTTTCGGCATCGTCTATCCGATCCACTTCTTCCCCGCTGGGCCGCGGTATCTCGGCCCCGCCGGCCCGCTCCCCAAGACGGGGACAGGCCCCGCGAAA